AGCCTCGTTTCTGTTTTAACGAAACTTAGACATTAAAAGGCCACACTTTCCAATATGATAGTTATTTTTACGATAAATATAAAAGAATACAGGAAGTTCAATTGAATTGTAGGTACGTAAATATTATCAATGCCTTCTAGTAAGTTGCAGCAGAACGGAAAGGACTGATGAGTGTTGATAGCTAATTTAAGCATTTTAAATATATTAAAAGTAGTTAATGTACCTCAAAGTTGAACGTCTTCTTCTAATACAAGCCACTAAATTTTTTGTTGGAGACGGGCACTCCTGAAAAAAAAACAATAAAATAAGCTTCTTATAACGAGAACAACATCCACTCATAAGATAGCAGAGTAGGAACCTTCATTGCAGAATCCTGCAAGGTGCGTATCCATTTTGCAGCTTCTTCTGAACTACTTGCTCCTAACTAAAAAATATGAAATATAGATTAAGAATAATCAGCGAAAAATTGTCATAAATATTATGCTCGGAGTCTTAATTTCAACACACCTTAAGCTTATCACTTTGGTTTGTTGCATTATAAACAGTAAACATGAAGAACACCTGCACAATGGAAACAATTCGTAAATACAATTATTAAATGTTGAAGGAAACAATGCAGCTCTGTGAAATAAATAATAAATAAAAACCATCCAGTGTTGTCCCGTAGAAAGAACCGCAGGTTCCTTACCTTTTTGTTCATACTCTCCCTTCCATTATCATTAACCCGAACGCAAGAGTCAATTATTGCACTTCTAATTGGCTCCTGAAAATTAACATAACGCTTTCATTAATCACAATTGACAACTCAATCATCGCAAGAAAGGAAATTTCAGAAATATTGTTGTTATTAAAATCTAAGAAGACACATACCACACGTCAAACATTAAGAAAGCTATTATGAAAACATAAATTAATCCAAAGCCTTTAAAACGTTATCCGTTCCAGGATACATCAAATAATCAAACATGGTAAGGAAACGTTTCTCGAACATTAATCGAAAATGTATTACTATGTGACAGACACCAATGAACAGAGTGAGGTCCATTCAAGAAATTGATCTCTTCGGACAAAAGTTTTTCATACAGAAGGACCTGAGATCAAACTCCTCACCACACACGTAAAGTGAGAAGAACAACGCTATATATGAATCGTGCGACGTGGATTATGTTGAAAAATGAAAGATTTGATCTATAGGAGTATTTACCTCGGTTGGGGAAGCGGGTTGGGTTTTGAAGCTTCGGAGGACATTGTCTTTGAGAATAAAGTACCTCTTCCGTGAGTAATGCTGACCAAAGCGATTGGCGCGAAGGAGATAAAGCCAGCCTTCCATTTTCTTCTCACTCTGCGGAAGAATACCCATTTGGAAGAAAATCGGCTAGAAAGAAAGAAAACAGTGTTGGAATTTGTGAGGCTGCATGAAATGGAAGGAATGAGAATGAGAATGAGAGCAAAGAAGGAAAAGAACCTGAGAAAGGGGATCGACGATGGCGATCCCCTGACCCCGCGAAAGGGAATCAGAGAATCGAAATCGTGAGGGCAGTGACAACGGTGGTTGTTGTTGCTCTTCTTCTTCTTGTTTTATTTCCTATGTTCCCGCTTCATCCAATAACCGTCTTCTGCGTCTTTCCTTCTACTTCATACCACATCATATACTACAATCCCAATTTACTTTCTTGCCCTTCTCCTTTTTTACTCACCCACCTACCTAAAATACATTTCCTCTTTAATCCGTTATGGAAAAACTAACTATATGACTGGAGGCGATTAATCAATGCATAGACAAATTTGTCTAAATATATCGTTAGACTCGTATAATCAGTGTATGAACACACTCTTATAATATGTATTGTTAGACTTCTCTAATTAGTGTATTCTCAAACTCGTCTACTTTTATTGTAAGACTAATTTAACTAATAAATGGATAAACTTGTGTATATGTATTAATAGACTTCACTAGTGTTGGGCTTTTGAAATCCCTTTATATGCTTTGCTTTTGTTTTAAGAAAAAATGAAGAAAGAATATAAAAATACGTTGTGGCATTGTTGAAATTATCGCGAACGTATAGGTTCGATTATCGAGGGAGAACTAAAGCATATATGTGGGAATACTTCAGTCCTCAGAAAACAAATGTAACTCTCATTTAATAGTATAAAAATAATAAAATAATAACGTTACAAAGATAGAATAATTGTTTGAAATAGAATGACTTATTCCTAACACCAAGAGGGGGGTGAATTGGGGAAAAGTAAAAAACAAAGTGTTCTTTAAATCTTTTTCGCAACGTTGAATGCCTTAAAAACTTCTTGAACGCAAGGAAAAGATTGGTTTTATGCAGCAGAAATATAATCAATTTAGGAGTATGCAGTCGACTGAATAAAAAGGGTAGGGATAGAAGATCAAACGCGACTTTTTAGACTGAGTGCGGCAAGCCAAATCTAAAGGTCCTTCCAAACCCAGGAAGCCAATGCACAAAACTATAATGATCAAGATTTTTACAACAAGGTTTTTATACGAAACCTCACGTCAAAAAATATTAACATATCTCTCTACCCTTAATCAAATATAGCATATATAACAACAAACTAGCAGCAAGAATTCCCCTCTCATGCAGTCCAACCCTTTGAGCCATCCTCAAGTCAAGAGTAACGCAACACGCTCTTCTTCTTGTAATCACAACAGGGAAACTTTTCCATCCAATCTTTACAAGATTTGTAACCTCTGATCTTTCAGTAGTAACACCCAAAGGTGCAGATATGATCAACCTTGAAGTGCAGTTAACTTGCTCTCAAGAATCCACAAGAGATGACACCATGGTCACTTCTTGTTCTGGAGGATCTTTCCCTGTTCTTTGGTAAGAATTCACTCTCTGCAAAATATCACAAAAACTGTTAGAATCACAAAAGTTATTATAGATCAAGTTCGCGTCAATTTCTAGATTTTTCACAATTCGACGCATTTTTAATCGACTTAACTACAATGCAGTCGAATGTATCAATTCAGTCAAAGAGTAGCAACAACAATGCTAGGTAATTGAATGTGCAATTAATGCAACCAATCATAATAAATGCTTGGGTCAACATATATAAAATATAGCCGTTGTAACATTTAACACAAGCATGAACAAAATTTCAAAACTGTAACAGACTTAGTCGAATGCAAGTTGCATATAATCGACTATGTAACAAAGTTAAACAAAGTTTTGAAAAACTTCCTCTTTGAAAATCCTACATGCATACTTTGAAAAAGTTTGTGCAAAGCCACGAGTTTTAATCGACTCACCCATAATGAAGTCGACTGAAAATGTTATTTTGCCGCACAATAAAAGTTTCAACATAAAAAGTGCTTGTGGTTTTCTTTCTATAAAAACATCAGACATGCATTCACCAATAAGATCAGTTATATAGCAAGATGAATGTAATGTATACAACACAATCATGTTCTCCATGCTTTGAACATATTTATACATTGATTAAAACATGTAGCATGTAAGCAATAGAACATGTAACACATAAACATCACATGTGTTATTACTTATGTTGTCATCATAAAAAACCAGGAGCTCTGAGATTGTAGGTTCAGCTAAACTAGTGCTCTTCCTATCAACAATCTCAACAATAATAAAACAACTACGTCAAAACAATCCTAACCACAGAAAAAAAATCTACATTAGTAGAAATCACCTAACTACACATATGCTACACTCTTACCCCTCGCTTGGGTAACTGAAAAAGACATCCTTATCTGCTCCCACCATTAAGGCGATAATTGCAAACAAGAAGATGACATATAAAACAGGCAAACACAGAAGCAAGGGTAAGCTAGTGTAGAAAGAAATAAACTTTGCATATTAAGATTTCGTTATACATCCTATTTCACACAAAGTAAACCAACCATCCTAATCATGTTATTGACTTAGATAAACCCATTTGGATAGATGTATTTATGTCAAACTATGACAAGTTTTGCACTTGTAGTGGTTGAATAACTGCCCTCCCCCCAAGCTACCACACAAGGTTAATTCGTCTACCACATATGGACAAAGAACACATACCATAGACTAGGATCTTCTGCTACTTCCTACAGCATAATCCCCTTCTCTACCTGAGATGACTGATTATTGGAGCGTTAGATAACTTTCAAGCTGCTACGTCCCCCTACATCAACATTACTTACTTGGAAACCACTATAAAATTTCATCCTATAAATCTCTTTCCAAACCATTACTTGAATTCAATCACAATTTCCATACATAGTACAGTTGAAGCTATGATATTAAGCATAAATTCAACATCACCTTTTATATCCACCATAGAAGAGGAAAGAATGCAAAACAACCAAAATTGCCCAAACTTAGTCACCCAATGCCTAAATCTTGTGCTGAGCGATAGGGAGCTTCCTCAGCGAGGGAGCTCACCCGCCCCTGAAACCCACTGCCAAAACACCTAATTACTCGCCTAATGAGCTAATATCTCGCCCAACCACTTAGTAAAATCCTACAGAATACTAATTCTACAAAATTTGTATCATTCATCCTCCCATGCTTAAACTCATAAACCTCTCCAAGCACCTATACAACCTTTTTACCATTTCTAAACCTTTAATTTAAGTTTACGAACTTATTTCTAATTAAACTTAACCTCTATTTTAATCTTCTTATCATGAATTGATGATATCAACCCCAAATTACTCCCTTAAAACTCCAAATTTTGTCTACCCATTTCAAGTACATTTGGACCAATAAAGTGTCCACGCAAGTCCTAATTGACCTAAAAATTGACCTTAAGCCACTTTTCCTTTTTCACCCATTAACTCAAAATTTCACTTAGCAAAAGCCCTTAAATTTAACCTAAAGCAACCTTAATCTGAACTCAATTTCTATCTCACAATTGGACATCATATTTTGACCATCTAAGATTTATACCAGTTATAAAAGACTTTATAAAACTTACCAAACTTAAGATACTACTCTACACTCATTACTCTAAAAATTGGCCTACCAACACCCTTCAATTTGGACTACAATATAGTACAACAACCGCCCCTTTTACTAAATCAATCTTACCACAATTTGCATTCAATCCTACTTCAAATCAACATCAATGAGATTACAAAACAACCATACAATAACACACATCAAGATCACACCATTAATCACCAAAATTTGCTTTTTTTCACAATTTAGCTCATCTAAGCTATCATACAATCATATTTCATCAACCAATCACTTAAGAATCAAGTTAATTAAATTTCAATACTATATAAACACATAAAAACAAATATAAATTTTTATATGTCTATGAAACAACACATTAGCTTCCCTTATCTTTTTAGAAGACCAAACCGCTCTAAAGAAACCCTATACTGCTCTCACACGCAAAGAGCTCTATCTAAACCTATAATAAACAAAAATACGATCATGATACACTATTAGAACTACTGATCAACAAAGACTCAAACTAAATACTAAACAAACGCATGCAAGCTAAACGGGGCCCACATGCAATCGATAAAGAAAGGACCAAAGAAAAGGGATGGAAACTTAACTTACTCAAACGAAGAAACTAATAGGCCTGAATTGAAGAGCTCGATGCCAAGATCATTCCTACGATCTTAGTTCTTCAATTAGATGAGTAGAGAAAAAGAACTTCTACAGAGAAGTCAGAGAACTCTAGAAAAGTGGTTTCTAGAGAGATAGTGTGTTTTAAAATAATGAAACTCATTTATAACGAAACTATTTGTAATAAAATGATTTAATATTAAAATAATTAAATCTCACTATTTTTAAACCACTACCATTTCTAAAACACCATTTTTAGGTCTTTACAACTAAAGCCTATAAGTTTGCCATAATTTCAAAATTGTCGTTGTTTTGTATAATTATTTTATTCGTGCGAGTGGTATGAGTTTTGATTATTAAGGAACCGAAGCCTATACAATATTTATGCTTCGATTCCTAAGGACTTGAAGCCTAAATGTTAAAGAAAATTTCAAAATTGACACTGTATAATTTTTTGTTTTAGTATAGGCTTTAGGCTTCAATTATTCACAGAACCAAAACATATTCATATATAGGTTTTGGTTTTACAAATACCGAAACATAAAAGGATGCTTAGGGTAAAGTTAAGCAAAATTTTATGAAGGTGCCTCCGTGTTTTCTCTTCCTCAGCTGCTTTGTTTGTTCTATTGCACCACTACAAACCCTATTTTGTCACACTTCTCCAATCTCCTCCCTTCCTGGTCGCTAAACACCACTCCTTCACTTTTGTTGCTATCATTGCCAAGTGCGAATCGCCACCACTACTACCACTACTACCACTCCTCCATTATGAGACCTCGAAAAATAGTACCATTTTATGCATAAGTCAATAATTAGACTATCTTTGAGATAAGGTTTATTTTAGTACCATGTGGTTAATTAGTTAGAGTTTATGGTGGTGAAGAAAAAATCTTGTGTACAAATACTATGTCACGAGTATATATAAATGCTTTGCATTAGAAATATATAAAGTATGGTATATGCGAAATAAGAATAAGTTAAAAGGATATTAAATGACATTATAATCAGAATCAGAACGAAACAAGTAGCTTAGTGGTGAAAGCTGAGTGTTGGAATGTGAGGGAAAGACTTGAACCTGTGGGGCAACAAAAAAGGT